TGCAGCCACTGTCCAACTGGACAACTGGCCCAGGGTGGAGGAGCTTGGGTCCATGCTGCCCCCTTGCCTCCTCACCTCACTCTCAATCTGCTGCTTCAGGCCCAGTTGCTGCTCCTTGTGCTGGTTGGCACGGCTCACCTGTTCCTCAATGCCTGACAGCACTACCTCACAGCCCACACACCTGTGGGAATCAGGAGAGAGAAGTGTCAGCGGAAGAGGGCTGTGATCACAGGCTCATGAAAAATAGAATCAGAAAGAACCCTGGGCTGGCCCGGTGGTGCAGTGGTTGGGTGTGCACGTTCCACTTTGGGAGCCCGGGGTTCACTGGTTCGGATCCCGGGTGCGGACATGGCACCACGTGGCAAGCCATGCTGTGGCAGGCGTCCCACATATATAGTAGAGGAAGACGGGCATGGATGTTAGCTCAGGGCCAGTCTTCCTCAGCAAAAAGAGGAGGATTGGCAGCAGTTAGCTCAGGGCTAATCTTCCTCAAAAAAAAAAAAAAAAGGAAAGAACCCTAGATCCTGGCAGCCAAACCCTTGTCTGAATTAGGAACCCTCACCAGGGCACCTGGAAACCACCTGCAACAATATTCTCAGGACCTGGAAGGACACTCAGGTAGGATGAAAGAGGTATAAGGAAGTGCCTGGAGTGATGTGCAAGATGGCAGTAGGAACTAAAAACAAAATGGGGTAGGAGATACTTAAGAGAAAAAAAAGAAGGTGTATTAATGAACTAAAGTTAGCCAAGAACACAAAGAGAAGAAGTGGAAAAGGCCCACAGCCTATGACAGCGCTAGTTACAGACCCAGGGGTTGACAGCTGACCGACCTCCCAGTGAGGATCCTCTGAAGAGTACCATTCCCCTTTTCCTCCTCCAGTTACTATACCAAGGGCACCAAGTCCTGCCTCTTACCCCGCAGGCCCTCCTCCACTCCTTTCCTCAGAAGCAGTTGGAGGAATGAGCTCATTTCCCTTCACCCTCTTGGATTCCACCTCTGCAGTGCAGCCCAGCCCTCTCCCACTCAAAGCGCCTCTCCCTTTCTTGGGGTGAGAAGAGAAGGGACAATGCCAGGACACAGTTCTCACCACTCTTGCAGGGTTCGGGCAATGGCACTGAGGTCCTGGCGCTGGATGTCCCGCCCAATGCTGTAGTCAACCTCCAGCCGCTGATTGCGCTGGTCCAGGGAACCGCGAAGCACATCGGCGTACACGGCCTCAATGACAAGGTCTTCCAGCTGCCGCACGTTACGCAGGGCAAGGGCCTCCAGCAACACTGCATATGGGATACACTGGAGCCCAGGGATGTTGGGCTGGCGTTTGTGAGGTTCCGCAGCAGAGAGGGCCTTCCAAGATTCTGCTTCCCTCCTTTCCCCCTGCCTGGGCTCACCTGCCTGCCCTCCACTCCTACTCCTAAATCCTTTTCTCTAAAAGGCTGGTTCTAAGGCAAAATAAATAAAAGTATTCCCACCTGAAAAATAACATCATGAGAAGGACAATCTTAACAAAATATAAGATTTATGCTCCCCTACCACGCCTACCTCCCACACCACAGAGGAATAAAGTGACATGTGCCTGAGTGTCAATCCACTGGCCACAGCTCAGGATAGCACACAGACCTTGGGCAAGATCACCTTAATAAAATGTGTGGGTGACCTTGGTTCAGCCTTGGTCAACCACGGTTGCACACCTTGACATAAGGTGTGGGAGGTCTGGAGTTACTCTGTTTACCACTTCTCCTCAGCCTCCTTGCAGAGAGGCATCTCACGATAAAGAGCCTGAGCTAAGCAAATCCTGACAATGACAGGAGAGTCAAGTAACAACTGGGAGAGCACAGATGGGAGGGAGTGGGATAGTGAACAAAATACTGAACCTAACAGGAAATACAGAGAGACTTCTGGGTTATGTTTCTTATTCCAGCAAACAGAAGCCTAGCGCTTCACCAGGAGAGACAGCCTCGTTGCCAGCTCTGCACACTGAGACTGCTGACTTTATACGGTGGGCAGGAGGGTGACTGTTGAACGCCACAGCCAACAGCATCCTAGTTGCCATTCTGACCCAAAACACAAAAGATGTTTTACCTAGAACTTAAGTTGACTGAAAAATAAAAACAAAACAGAAAACTAAGAGAACACTATTCAGCCTAAAAGGCTGCAGGTAATGGAGTTGAGATACAGACCTTAGACGCACTTCTCCTCGGGGGAAGGCGGGAAGAAGCAACAGTGTGGTTGAAGGCTGGCTGAGTGCAAATGGGCCCTTATGAAGGGACACACAGAAGGGTGCTCTTTGGCCCAGGACCAGGGCTGTCACTCACCTTGACTTTGGCAGCCAGGGTGACGACTGATAGGTGTCGAAGCTTATTCTTCTGAGCCTCTGTGAGTGGGGGAAGGTTCCGGGCTTCAGCTGGGAAAAAGGACAAAGTGGAGGAAATCCTGATTTCGCCTTGTGGGAAGCCCTAGCCTCCTTCCCCTGCTCTTTTGTTGTTGTTGTTGTTATTGCATTTTCCATGCCAATTCACATGGTGACCCTGACCCTGTGAACCTAGGGGATCTAACTAAGGTATGCCAGGAATTTCTTCTAAGGCCCTCCAGAAATTGCCCTTCTCCCACCTCCACGACTCCAGAGCTGCAGCCTCTCTGGTTACCTAAGTAGTCAGCATATGTCCCATAAGCAAACACCGTGAGCAGCCGGAATGTGGACGCGAAGTCACTCTCAGCCAGCTGCAAGAATATGAGGAAAGAGAAGAGGTGACAGGAAGGACCTCTCTCTCCACCCTCCCAGCCTTAATCTGGTTTGAACTCCACTTTCTGGCCCCATCTTTCTCCTCCAACATTAGCTCTCCCAGCTCACCAAAAGGAACTCTCTGCCTCTCTGATCACTTCCCCATAAGCAGGCCTCATTTCCCCCTCCAGGCCTTTGCTTACACTATTCCCCCAAACCACAATGCCCTCTTCCTCCACATGCCTGCAATTCCTACCCTAAATTCAGAGTTGAAAACGTTCAGTGTTCAGTGTCTAATGTACACACACGGCAGACATTACAAATTGTGTTGTTTGGTCCTTAGAGTGTGTCTAATAGTTCTGAATTTGAATACCTTTAGACAGTTTGCTGTACTCCCCAATTCACCAAAGACTCCTGCTTCAGCCTCACTCATCTCTGACAGCTGCATGGCCTAGGCGGGCACTGGAATTTGTGGCCTCTGTTTCAGACCCCCCTCACCCAGAAGGCTTTCATCACCTGGGCCAGCCCACCCAGATCTCCTCTCCTCCTAACACTCATCACTCATTCTGGCATTTCATCAATCAAACTGTGCCTAAGGTTGTCACCTAAGAATATCTTTCTTTTCAACAAGATTACAGACCCAGGCTCTGGTATCCCACTAAGCAGAGCTATGCATGTAGTTGGTTCTCTCAACAAACACTTGCTGGTGTCATACATCTTAACGACCCATCCACTCCGAACTTTAAACTCTTAACACTGCTACTTCTGTGTAAACAGTTCTCTCTGCTGTGTTTCTAGCCACATGTGTTTGGGAAAAAGACACCTCCTACGTTTTTTAACTTAAGTGTGTCAGCTACCTTGCAAAAGGGGGAGAAGAGGGCATGCCAATTTCACGATTGTTCCTGCCACCTGTACCAGACTTTACACTTTCCCATAATCTCACCTGATTCCTACAATAACAGTGAGAGGCAGTATCAGCTCCATTTTTAAAAGAGAAAACGGAGGCCCTAAAATATATGTGTCCCGATCAAGGTGACATGCTTATTAAGAGGTGTTACACTGGTGGAGACAGGCTGGAATCAGGTTTCCTATTCTAAATCATACGCTTTTTTGCTTAAAAATGAAAAATACTGGGTTTTTACAGCTCATTCGTCCCCAAGGGGAAAGCAGGTTTACTTGCATAGTTACTTTTGCAAGCTGCCAGTTAATCATCAACATATTCTTGTTCAACTGAATGGTTATGGGGTTACAAAATGTGCCCTGCCCACCCATTCTCAAATTGAAACTTTAGCCCCAAGCTTCCCTGTGGGCTATTCAGGCCAGGAACCCACCTCTCTAACATTAGGCATATCCAGCAGTTCCCCAAACACGTAGACACCAGGGGCCTCCAGCACCTGGTGGATGAGTGTGGCCAGCGCTGCCCCCTTGGCCGACTTGGCCAGGAGCAGAAATTGCTCCTGGTTCTGCCCTGTCACCTTCACCTCGGCACTCATGGCTGCACTGAGGTGGGGGGACCTGGGCTCAGGATGTCTGGAGCTGCAAGGAAAGAGTATGTGAAGCTGCAGGTCCCTGAACACTGGGAGGATGGGAAGCACAAGAGCTAGGGAGTGGACTACAAAGGCACTGAGTTACTTCTCCAGTGAGGAGACAGAGATGGAGCTGTCTAAAACTCGGATCAAGGAATCCTAAAACTGGCCCCTTTGACGCAAGTCTGGCTGAAACAGGGTGGCCACGCCCACCCTCCCCCATCCCTGGGCCTATATCCCAAGCCCCACCAGGTGCACCCCACTGAATCCTAAGGCAAGGATGCAGTGGGGAAGGAGTGTCACATGGCGTACACCCAACGACGACGCTGCCTCAAATCGCCACTGGTGCCCCGCAAGTGCCCCCAGCCACGTGACCTCACCCTCACGCTCCTTCCACGTGGCTCCGCCCCCTCCCTTAAAGAGGCCGCCAAGGGACGGTGGGCTCCCGCTGCCTGCCCGGTCGTACCCTGGATCACACTCTGCGGGCCGCTACCTGGAAGCTTCGTCTTCCAGCGCACCGGGCGGGGCCGCCGCTCCGTCACCTCCGGCAGCTGTTCCGAGCCCTTCCTGACACCTCTCCGCAGGGGCGCTCTGGCCACTAAACTCTATGGCTGGCTTCCGGCCGTACTTCCGCTCTTACGAGGCGGGTTTCAAGCGCGACATGCCCCGCCCCTGCTTTCCGACTCTGAAGCGCCTGTGAGCGACACAGGCATTCTAACTTTCTGATTGGCTGTTAGGGCAAGAAGGACGGGCGCCTTTTTCTCTGCTTTGTTTCAATAAAACTTTATTGTTGGACGAGCGCTAGACGCTAAACGCAAAGGGAGGCCCTGGTCTCAGGCAGGTACCGGGTGCTTCTAGGAAGTGACTGCTCTAAGCTGCCTGAGATCTGGAGATCCAGGCTGCACGGGTGCCTGAGGAGAGAGGAAAGCTGTAATGGAGAGACAGAGAGAGAAGAAAAAAAACGGTGGGGGCATGAGGAGGAGAGGACGGAGACAATAATCAGTAATAGTTTAGCAGCAGAGATCACGTGGGTAGTTCACTCATTTTTTTGAGGAGCAAGGGAAAAGAAGTGGAAAAGGTAAAATAATAATAGCTAACATGTATCGAGTGCTTACTATTGGTCAGGCATCTTTAAAAATTTTATCCTATTGAATCCTCGTAACTATACCGCCTCCCCAGTGTGAGTCTAGGACACCGTCTATCATGATTACAACATGTACTTGTAGAGTGACGCTTTCCTGTATATTGACTCTTAATTCCTGGGGGAGGAAAAAACCCCAGGTGGAAGGAAGGCATATGTCATTAGTCTCGTCTTACAGATGAAGAAATTGAGGCTCATAATAATCCAGAGAGTCTCCCGGAACCTAGGTCTTTTCAAACCCGAAGCCGTCTTTCCGTTTCACCATTGTGCCTTAAGAAAAAAATAAACAGCTAACATTTCCGTAGTTTTATATTTCATACCAGGCTTGCAGCAGGTCAAATGAGAATAAAGTTAATGACTTCTTGGAGGCCCTTGTGTTAAGCACTAAGAGCTTTCCTTAATTCATTTGATGCTTATAACAATCTTATTTCCATTTTACAGATGGAAAAGTTGAGGCCCAGGGAAGTTAAATAATTTACAAGTAATGGAATGAGAGAAAGTGGGAAAAGACAACACAAATGAAGATGAAATCAGAGGACTGGTAGACTGCTGGAGCTGAAGGGACTTTAAGCTCAAAGTTTATGGAACACGTGGCTTGGTTTATGATAGAAAATGAGAAGCAGAAACAAAGGAGAGAGAGAAGAAGAAAAAGGAGGAAGAAGAGGCAGAGGAGGAGAAAGAGAAGAAGAAATGGATGGAAGAGATGACAGTATAAGAGAGGAGAAGGGATCAAAGGCATAATAAAATATCCAAAGTTTGAAGGAACCAAAGAATGAATACAATCTTATCAATTTAAAGAGGGAAGTAAAAATAAAAATATGAGGAAACAATGAGAAAAGAGCCGACATATGTTCTATTATGTGTCAGGTCTTTATTTGTTCAACTTTTTTTTTAAGACTATTTTTCAGGGCCAGTCCAGTGGCGCAGCCGTTAAGTTTGCACGTTCAGATTTGGCGGCCCGAGGTTCACGGGTTCTGATCCCGGGTGCAGACATGGCACCACTTGGCAAGCCATGCTGTGGTAGGTGTCCTGCATATAAAGTAGGGGAAGATGGGCATGGATGTTAGCTCAGGGCCAGTCTTCCTCAGCAAAAAGAGGAGGATTGGCAGCAGATGTTAGCTCAAGGCTAATCTTCCTCAAAAAAAAAAAAAAAAAGACTTTTTTAGAGCAGTTTTAGGTTTATAATAAAATTGGGAGGAAGGTACAGAGATTTCCCATGTACTCCTTGCTCTTACACATGCATAACCTCCCCTATTACCAAAATCACTTACCAGAATGGTACGTTTTTTTTTTTACCAAGGATGCACCTACATTGACACATCATATTCACCCAAAATCTACAAGTTACTAAAGGTTTCACCCTTGTTGGTATACATTCAGTGGGTTTGGACACCTGTGTAATGACATATATCCATCATGATAATGTCATAGAGTATTTTCACTGCCCTAAAAATTCTCTGTGTTCTGCCTATTTATCTTTCCTCACTCCCCACCCCTGCCAACTACTGATCTTTTTATTGTCTCCATAGTTTTCCCTTTTCCAGAATGTCATAGAGTGGGAATCATACAACATGTAGCCACCTCAGATTGGCTTAAGGAATCTCTTAAGGTTCCTCCATGTCTTTTCATGGCTCGATAGCTCATTTCTTTTTAGTGCCAAATAGTACTCCATTGTCTGGATGTACCACAGTTTATGTACCCATTCACCTACCGAAGGACATCTTGGTTGTGTCCAAATTTTGGCAATTACTCATAAAGCTGCTATAAACATCCATGTGCAGGTTTTTATGTGGATGTGTCTTCTACTCCTTTGGGTAAATACAAAGGAGCAAAATTGCTGGATCGTATAGTAAGAGTATGTTAAGTTTTGTAAGAAACCACCAAACTGTCTTCCAAAGTGGCTGTGCCATTTTGCATTCCCACCACCAGTGAACGAGAGTTCCTATTGCTCCACATCCTGGCCAGCTTTCTGTGTTGTCAGTATTTCAGATTTTGGCCATTCTAATAGGTGTGTAGTGGTATCTCGTTGTTGTTTTAATTTGCATTTCCCTGGTGACATATGACGTGGAGCATCTTTTCATATGTTTACTTGACATCTGTATATCTTTGGTGAAGTGTTTAAGGTCTTTGATCCATTTTTTAATTGGGTTGTTTCTTTTCTTATTTGGTGAGTTTTAAGAGTTCTTTGTATATTTTGGAGAGCAGTTCTTTATCAGATGTGTCTTTGGCAAATAGTTTCTTCTAGTCTGTGGCTTGTCTTCTAATTCTCTTGATTTTGTCTGTCACAGAGCAGAAGTTTTTCATTTTAATAAGTCCAGCTTATCAATTATTTCTTTCATGGATTGTGTCTTTGGTGTTGTATCTAAAAAAGCATCACTATAGTCAAGGTCATCTAGGTTTTCTCCTGTGTTATCTTCCACGAGTTTTATAGTTTTGCATTTTACATTTAGGTCTGTGATCCATCTTGAGTCACTTTTTGTGAAGGGTGTAAATTCTGTGTCTAGATTCCCTTTTTTTTTGCATGTGAATGTCCACTTGTTCTAGCACCCTTTGCTGAAGAGGCTACCTTTGATCCATTGCCGTTGTTCCTTTGTCAAAGAATAGTTGACCATATTTATGGAGGTCTATTTCTGGGCTCTCTATTTTGTCCCACTGATCTATTTGTCTATGCTCCTGCCAATACCACACTGTTTTGATTACTGTAGCTTTACAGTAAGTCTTGAAGTCAAGTAGTGTCAGTCTTCCAACTTTGTTCTTCTCCTTCAATATTGTGTTGGCTATTCTGGGTCTTTTGCCTCTTCATATAAAAATTTGTTTTTTTTTTTTTTTTTTGAGGAAGACTAGCCCTGAGCTAACTACTGCTAGTCCTCCTCTTTTTGCTGAGGAAGACCAGCCCTGAGCTAACATCCATGCCCATCTTCCTCTACTTTATATGTGGGACGCCTACCACAGCATGGCGTTTGCCAAGCGGTGCCATGTCCGCACCCGGGATCTGAACCAGCAAACCCTGGGCCGCTGAGAAGTGGAACGTGCGAACTTAACTGCTGCGCCACCGGGCCAGCCCCCCGCCGTTTCTTTTTATAAGATTTTAGTTTTCCTTTTTCTCCCCAAAGCTCCCTGGTACATAGTTGTGTATTTTTAGTTGTGGGTCCTTCCAGTTGTAGCATCTGGGATGCCACCTCAGCATGGCTTGATGAGCAGTGTCATGTCTGCGCCCAGGATTCAAACCAGTGAAACCCTGGGCCGCTGAAGCAGAGTGCGTGAACTTAGCCACTTGGCCATGGGGCCAGCCCCCATATAAATTTTTTAATCAGTTTGTCAATATCCATACAATAACTTGCTTGGATTGGGATTGAGATTGCATTAAATCTATAGGTCAGGTTGGGATAAACTGCTGTCTTGACAATATTGAGTCTTTCAACCCATGAATATGGATTATCTGTCCATTTATGTAGTTCTTCTTTGATTTTGTTCATCAGAGTTTTGTAGTTTTCCTCATATAGGTCTTATATATATGTATTTTGTTAGATTTATACTTAAGTATTTCTCTTTTTGGGGTGCTAATGTAAATGGTATTGTGTTTTTAATTTCAAATTCACTTGTTCATTGTTGGCATATAGGAAAGCAGTTGACTTTTGTGTATTAACCCTTTACCCTGCAACCTTGCTATAACTCCTTATTAGTTCCAGGAGGTTTTTTAATCGATTCTTTCAGATTTTCTGCATAAATGATTATGTTCTCTGCAAACAAAGACCGTTTTATGTCTTCCTTCCCAATCAATATACATTTTATTTTCTTTTTTTGCCGTATTGCATTAGCAAGGATTTCCAGTACGATGTTGAAAAGGAGTCCTGAGAGGGGACATCCTTGCCTTGTACATGATCTTAGTGAGAAAACTTCAAGTTTCTCGCCATGAAGTATGATGTTACCTGTAGCAGTTTTGTGTTGTTATTGTTGTTCAACTTTTTATTCAATCTTTATGACAACCTTTTGAGGTGCCTATTAATATCTCAATTAATCTGTGAGGACACAGGATCACAGAGTTAAATAATTTGGTTTTTTTTTTTTTTTTTGAGGAAGATTAGCCCTGAGCTAACAGCTGCCGCCAATCCCCCTCTTTTTGCTGAGGAAGACTGGCCCTGAGCTAACATCCATGCCCACGTTCCTCTACTTTATATGTGGGATGCCTACCACAGCATGGCTTGCCAAGCGGTGCCATGTCCGCACCTGGGGTCCGAACTGGCGAACCCCAGGCCACCTAAGCGGAACGTGCGAACTTAACTGCTGTGCCACCAGGCCAGCCCCCAAATAATTTGTTGAAGATCACCAGTGTAAGTGGCGGAACTGAGATTCAAATGCAAGTTTGTCTGATTCCAGCGCTGTGTTAAGAAAGAAAAGAAAAAGCAGAAAGGGAAGAGAGAAGAGAGGAGGGAGACAGAGAGAGCCTGAAATCTAGTTCTGATTCAGCCTTAAAGTAGCTGTGACCTTAAATTGTGCCATCTCGTAGCATCTCATCTTCCACATCTGCAAAGTGAGCAGTCAGACAACAGAATCGCTAAGGCCAATTCTGATTTTGATGTTTTATGATTTTGTGAGAGAAAGAGGAGTAAGACCAGAAAATGAGAGAATGATTAATAAGTAGAGAAGTAGAATTTAGAGAAAGAGAGGAGAGAGGGTGGACTAAAGGAGGGAGAGTAGAAAGAGCAGAGAGAGAAGAGGACGAGGAATAGATGTGAGAAAGAAGGGAAAGGGATGGAAACGAAGAGAGGAGGGAGACAGAGAGAGCCTGAAATCTAGTTCTGATTCAGCCTTAAAGTAGCTGTGACCTTAAATTGTGCCATCTCGTAGCATCTCATCTTCCACATCTGCAAAGTGAGCAGTCAGACAACAGAATCGCTAAGGCCAATTCTGATTTTGATGTTTTATGATTTTGTGAGAGAAAGAGGAGTAAGACCAGAAAATGAGAGAATGATTAATAAGTAGAGAAGTAGAATTTAGAGAAAGAGAGGAGAGAGGGTGGACTAAAGGAGGGAGAGTAGAAAGAGCAGAGAGAGAAGAGGACGAGGAATAGATGTGAGAAAGAAGGGAAAGGGATGGAAACGAGGAAAGAAGGGGGAAAGTGGGAAGAAAAATAAAGATGATCTCTAAGGGAAGGATGGGAGCTAATTAGACTAAAGCAAAGCCTAGGCTGTAACATTCATTCATTCACTCGTTTGTTACTAAGTAACAGTTATGTACAAGGCCCTGTGCCAGGTGCTGTGTTTTTAATGCTAAGGATAGAAAACAAGATGCCCTGAAATAGAGTAGAGAAGCTGACTAACATTCAAGGAGTCAGACACATAATAAAATATTCACCATTGATTCAAGAGGAGTACACTGAGCACCTCTTACTGCCAGGCGTTGTTCTAGTTCCTAGAGATATACACAAAATACCTGTCCTCTTGGTATTTACATTCTTGTGGTGAGACTCAGGCAATAAATAAATACATACATGCATACATAAACGGTCAGGAGGTAATAAATATTATGAAGAAAAATAAAGCAAGGAGAGGCGGATGGGGAACGCAGGAGACATTTGCTATTTCATATACGGTAGTAAGGAGAGGCCTCGCTGACACCGTGGCAATGGAGCAGAGACTTTGAAAAAACAAAAGGAGCAAGTCATGTGGATTTCTGAGGGGACAGTGTTCCAGGCAGAGCAAACTACAAGTGTAAGGGCTTTGAAATGGGAACATACATACTTGATGTGTTTGAGGAACAGCAAGGGGTCCTGTGTGGCTAGAGCAGAGTAAGGGGAGAGAAGTAGGAGATGAGGTCAGAGGGAGAACAAAGTGGCCAGATCATA